ATGGAGTTAGAATTCCATCCACCTGGCCAGTTTTTGGACCTTTTACTTTTTGTCTCCTGTTTTGGCTTGAACTTGTTCTAGTGGAGATAGATTTTTTTAAAACCGGCCTCATGACCCTTTTACTTTTGTGCTTCCTCTTTTGGTATATACTTGTTCAAGGCGGGTGGCCTAAAACCTATCTCCTTGTGGAACTTTTGTATCCAATATAAGTAATAAATGTGTTGTCACCCTTTGCCAAAAAATATTAGAAGGCATGAGGGCAAATAAAAGAGAAAAAAAGACAAGAATCCTCAAAGATCACTTCCCAACAAATTGGTGTTCTGATGTCTAACATCCTACAATATAATCGCAGATGCTCTTTTAATATCCTTTGTCTGTTCACAAACTAGTCATTAATCTTTTAAAGTGGCCATACTGTTATTTGTGCTTGCATGTTCTAGAGGGCAAACATTCCTTGGAAATTGGAAGTTCTTCTCTCCTGGGAAAGGGAACATTGACTTTCTGGAACTAGCAATTGCTATGTTTGATAATGTATCTAGAATTTAAAGGAAGCTTGGGAACCTGTGCTTGATTGAACCTGGAAGTCTGCAAATGTGGAGATACGTAAATAAGCAATTATAATAGTGGTTCATTTTTTGATTGATATGAGGCCATGTCTGAGGGGTGGGGTTCCATTCTTTTGGACATTAACAACACAAGTATATTAATATATAAATAATAGCTAAGAGTTGTGAGCGAGAGATAATGAGCCAAGGAAAGAGCTCCAACCTCTCACTCTCCAATTGTTAGAAAGAGATAATTCAAAGTCAATAACAAGCAATCGAAGTACCAATCATTGTACCTCAACTGAGTTTGTTCATACAAACAATCAATAGATTTTGGCAATGAAATGTTCCAAAAAATAAATGACTGTTCCAAACCATCCTTATTAAATAGAAAACAACAACTTAGAAATGAGATAGCTTAGTAAAACTGCAAAATAACAAATAACTTCCATTAAAATGTTTTGGACCAAAAAAAGAAAAACTACAAACTACAAACTACAAACTTGAGATTCTACCAAGCACAAGCTAGAATTGATCATTCGCTGAGCAAACAAAAAACCACTAGTCTTTCTAAGACCATTCAAACAAATGATCTAACAGTTCAAGAACAACCAGCTACATGCCAATTTTTAATTCATTATATAAGCACAAAAACTTTAAAAACTGCACAAATTTTCAACATATGTACTGACCATTTAGCATAAATGATCAATTCACACCTAAATTTGTGACAAGGGAAATTCATATAAAAGGTTTCCTACACTTGACCTGTGTACCACATCTTCCACCACTGAATATTGCATTTCCCAATGTATCTTTCATAGCATATTGCTATGAACACTAACATAAAAAAAATCACATGATCCCCAATTTCAAACAGAGACCAGAAATTCTTGATTATTCATAAAGGTCATAGAATTTATTTTTTTTTGAGAATGGGCATAGAATATGAGGACTGCAATTCTCAAAATGATTTCATTAATTTTATGTGAACCGGAACCTTCATCGCTAAATTCTTCATTGATTTCGTTGCTTTTAGGAAATATTGATTTTAATGTGTCATTTTAATTCATGAACTTTGAACACAAGTACCCATTCATTTACCCAACATTTTCAAGAAAAACAAGTCAGAACACAAAAGATCCTTTCCATGTATCTCACTGAACTCCAATCAAAATTAGGCCTCACAATATCAAAAACAAGAAGAGCAGAGAAGAGAGAACTTAGTTTTGAGAGAGGGAGGAGAGTTCCATAGGCAGCAAGAGCTGGGAGAATTTGTACCATTAGGTATGGCATATTGATTTTTCGATCACAAGGGGGAGATAGAAGGTCCGAGGGAGGTAGGGTAGAGAGAGAGAGGGGGAGAAAGGGATGCCTGGTTGCAGGTTCTAGGGCCTGGGGTGTGAGGTGGCTACCGGAGGCAGCAGGGTTGGGCAAGTTGCATGTGGGGGTGTTTTGATCTTTTAGCTGTTGAGCAAAAAAGTCCCAAATCTTTGGCTTCTGTGAATGGAAGCCCTAACTACTTTAGGGTGGGAAATCACAACGAGACACTTATAATAGGTGATATGGTACTGCCATGAACATGCACTCGTGATGGTGTAAACACGATGGGGAGAGGATGATTGTCCCTAGAGTAGCCCTTACCACTTTAGGATGGGAAATCACAACAAGGCACTTATAATAGGTGATATGATACTGCCATTACAACCAAAAGAGTTAAGTGTGCGTTTAGATATGAGCTGTCATTATTGTTTGAAAATGTGATGCTTACACTTTGCTCATGCAGTACTTTCCTAGGGTGGGATCAGTCTATTGGAGATTGGGTCTGTCCTAGCTGTGGTTATTGTTTAAAAATTTTCCATGGCATGTTATTGGGAATTCGTTCAAGAACCATAAAAATCAATGTTGTCTTGATTGTGCCTCGAAAGTGGTATGTTCTCACATGCTTTTGGGACAAGTAATTGCCATATCAGCCCATGCTTTTGCTTTTGATATTTGCACTAAAAACTTCGGCTTTTGGTATTTGCACTAAAAGACAAGGGTACTTATGTCATCTCGAGAATGACATATTTGAAATATTCACTAAAAGACAAGGACATATTAATAAAGTACATGGAACTTTACTCTATAATTACTCGTCTCTTAATGAAAATATGAACAATACTCTTTCTAATGATAACACATGCACACACACATGCACACACACACACATGCAACCACGCACGTACATATCTATATATATATGGGTGCATTTATCATAAAAGCCTGGGCTTTACATGAAAAATTAAAATAAAATTCTTATGCCGGAAACCTTTATGATGGCCTGAAAATCTATTCTCCCTTGAGATTACGAAATTTGAATTTTCAAAATGATACAGATCTGGCGGATTTGTAAATACTTAAGAATGGACGATCTAGATAATGAGTTACAAGATGCAATATTTTTAGGGCTTGAATTCCATGTTTCTTGTTAGATCCATGATTTTTGAGGTTACGATGGTCAATTTGAGGGCTTTCTGATACTAGACGTGCGTTTGCAACAAGGCTTTGTGGTGCATTTTACTTTTTATTGTAAAGCCTTGTCCATATGTTTATTGTATCGTTTTACTTTTAAGGCCATTGAGTATATAATCTTGGATGCTTCAAAATTTTAAAATGCAATTTTTGTTTTTTTGGTTTCACATATCGGATTTGCTTGAAATTTTGAGGTTGTGTGAGCCTTACTTAGCACATCTAAAAAACATAAAAACTAATTCAAACCGGTAAAATGACCGAAATATTCTTACAAATATATCAGGGTTATTTATGTAATTTTATTTTCTGATAATTGTTTTGTTTACATTTTTTGGGTTCGTTATAGTGAGATGTACACATGCCCTAACTTTTAGACAATGTTTTAAAATGTGGGATGCGGTCTTGATGCCGTCGGGGGGCTGATGCAGTATAGATGCGGGCGCATCACCTAGATGCAGTCAATAAATATAAAAAATTCTGAAAAATCTAAAAAAAATAGGTTAATTCATGAAAAATATATAGAGGTGATTTATGTGATAATATGTATTTAATTTATTCATTAACTCCATTATTATCAGTTGCTCTGAGACACTTTGAATCCCCTGTTAGACATCATACTATTATAATTCATAAACATCCAAAAACCATAATCGGAATTGCAAACTCAGCCATTGAAACCCTCAATATGTTGATGAATCTATTTTGATGAATCTATGCTCAAGCTTCTTCAAACCCAAGCCAATCCCAGTCGACAACCCAATCAACGTCGAGATCGTATCGACAAATTTTTGGCAAAATAAAATTTCTGCCTTAATCTTCTTTTTCTCTTTGTTTGATCCATGAATGTGGCTGTTGGAATGACCAAAACACCCATGCTCGTAGGCACTATTTTCTTCCACGAGCTATGTGGTGCATATGCGCTATGTGGGCACGTCCCACCAAAGCGCATATGCGCCCCTATGCAATACGCTTCGGGGCGCATAGCATATTATGCAGCCACATTTGCGGTGATGGCCGCATTTCAAAACAATGGTTTCAGATGAATCTGATTTATAGAAAAAAAGTATGATGAATCTGATTTATAGAAAAAAAGTAAACATAGAAATCACACGATTCCAACCATCCAATATGAGTTTTGAAATTTGAGATTTATACTCATTTACAATAACACTCAATACTCTCCATTAATGTGATAAAATGAAAGATTTAATTTAATTTTAATTAATACAAAGGCAACTTATTGTCAAAAATTTGATAGTGCCTTCTAAATTCACCATTAGAATGGTGCACTCTAGAATAAGCATACACACAAACGTACATATATGTGTGCATGCATGTATGTATGTACCTTGCTACCGAGTTCTTCCCCATATCTGTATCCATATGGGAGCATCTTAGCTTGTTCAAATCTTTTTCCTCAACTGCAAAATGTCAGCTCCTGATGCTGGGAACACAGTGCAGGAGGTGATCAAATCTATGCTGCATTGTTTGGGTCTCCAATTTCTTAAAAATTATGAGATTTACGCACAACCCTTTAGGTTTGTATATGAACACTAATGATAGTAATTACAAAACATAAATGCATATGAAATAATTGATAGGGCTGATACAAGTGTATGTAACGCATATGTAACTAAACAATATAGTGAAGAGAGAAGGCAATGGCTATGATGACCTATGATGTTCTTAAACTGTTCAACTGTGATGGCCTACCAAGCTACGTGAAGTATAGCTGGGGCATATGTAGCAATGTAGAATGTGCGTGATGTCGTCTAAAAGTTTCTCTACCTTTCAATTTCAACACTATGAGTTAAACCTATCCTAATTGCATGATGTATACAATGTTTTCCATTAAAAGTGATTAAGCAGACCCTGAATAGGACTAAAAAGTGAGACCATTAGTATCTTGAATAATGAGTAGCCTTCCTTTTTTGGCTGCAGGTACGCTATCACAAAAGCCTTCTGCATAGCTTTTGTAATGACATTCTTTGAAGTGTTTGATGTGCCGGTGTTTTGGCCAATACTGCTCTTCTACTGGCTGGTGTTATTTGTTCTCACAATGAAACGACAGATACGCCACATGATTAAGTACAGATATGTACCTTTCTCCTTTGGTAAACAGGTAAAACTCCCTTCGTTTTGTTTGTTTTATCTTTTGAATTCATGTGCTAAATCAATTGAACTTAATGTGGTTCAATTGTGTGCCCACTACAGCGTTATACGGGAAAGAACGTAGCATCTAATGACAAGGCAAGCGTTCCCAGAGACTGATATCTATCGAGTCATGTCATGTATGTTCTTTGGAACAACAAGTAACATGAAGTTATACAGACAATGCATACAAGAGTAAGTCTGTTTGTGGTCTGTGCAGGAGCTCGCTGAGGATTTGGATGATAGCAACGAGTCTTCTGCCTAAGGCATGCTTGTGGTGAGCATTGAAGTCCTGCGAAGCAGTGCAGCTTAACAAGTTGGAATGGAGCAGGTGAATTTGCAGTGGGTTATTTTCTTACCCTTTTTTCCATTCTATTGTATTAGCTTTCCTGCTTAAATATAGAAATGATAGTCCAAGCAGTGGTAATGAGACTGCAATTTGAAGAAAAGAGATTGTCGGGATTATCTTTCATATACATGTTTGTTTAGCACGCTTTTACAATTATTTAGGGATGTCAAGAAGGGGCCAAGCAGCCATTCTCATTCAGAGGTTCTTATATATTATTGTCCTTAAAGCTCTGTTTGAGAACAAAAACACCAAATTTCTATTTATCAGATCAAGCAGGCAGTTATTATGATAGACTCAGCATTCATCAGCAGTTACAAAACTGCTTATCATTTTAAGTGGTTGGAACTTGCCGATTCAGCCAGGGTAGCCTTTTGCACCATGCTTATCAGACCTGGCTTGCTATATAAAAGCCCCTCAATGGGGTTAACTTCTTAACTGTTACAGTTGAGTGCAAACGCTAGACTACTTGCCTTGGGATGTCCCTTTTTGTGACCGAATGTATGTCAAATGTGAGCCAACTGAACTCTTCACTCGTTCTTCCAAATAAGAACTTGTTATTGATGAAAATGCCCGCATCTTTCAAGGATGTGGTTCAAACCTTAACTTGTCCACCTCATATTATCAGCTCTCATCTAATTGGTATGAGAGGCTGATGTCATCTCCAAACCATGCCCCATTGACTCACCTACAACGGTATTTCTGTGCTCACACACGTGCAAGCTTGACAGCTATCATCAACCAAGAATGATGAGCTATTTCTGAATGCCATTTGCAGTGTGCACTCATTTCATAAGGTTGATTGCTTGTGAGGTTTTTTTCATAGTTAATTTCAGGGGTCTGTGTCTGAGAGAGAGAGAGAGAGAGAATGTATTGGAGGAAATTCTCTTCAGGTTGATATCTCATTGGAAGGACTGAACAGCTTTCAAACAGTGAATCCATGGATAATTTTTCAAAAAAAATAAGGTTCACCTCACTTATCAACTTTGTTAGGTCCTTAGATTGGAGAAAATGGAACTTATTCTGCAAAATGTTGGAGCCAATCTAGTGAATACACTAAAAAAGTGTGCTTATGTGACTGGAGATTCTCGATGTTATAATCTTCATCACCATCCGATCTTGGAATGAATGGTGATGGATCCACCAGGGCATAACCCAAGTGGTCGTTCTTAATCCATTTTCCATCTATGGATTGGTCAATTATGACCGGTATAGGAAAACTTGAGCGGCAAATTCTAACTGCCCGGTTAGATTGGAACTGGCTGGTTTAAGTTTCGGATGGTTTTGGTGAATTGGTCGGGTATTTCAAAAAACAAATCAAAAAATTATATGAAATCTAAAAAATAAGGGATTTTGTTTGTAATACATTTTTTTAATGTTTTTTATCATTTTAGCAAAGAATGGAAATTGTTTTGGCCATTAATATTGGGCAAGCTTTCTATGCTCTCACTACATCATAAAACTTATATGTTTCATTTTATTCAGGTCTCCATTCTAAATGGGGGGTTAAGATTGTCTCAATCACAATGTCACGTCTCTATACTATTTTATTTTTCATTTTTTTTTCTATAAACAATTTTGACATCAAATTTTGTATGTATAATCTTTTATTAAACTCGCACCAGCGAAAAATATAAAATCAATATTTCTAATAAAATAAAATGATCAAAATACTTCAGAAAGTTTCAAAGGGTATTTTGGTTATTATATTTTATCAAAAATTAATTTTTAATTTTTTTTTTTATCGGTGCGCCCCAATGAGAAGATGGTACAGTATCAAATTTTATATTCATACAATTTTTATAAAAATAAATAAAAATAAAATACTTTAAGACATCGGATTTAAGATCAAACGGTGAGTGGCTCTCTTTATCAAAATTGGACAGCTGGATGGTAGGAGAAGTATAGATTTTCTATGCTTTAGGAGAAGTATGGAAACCTTTCTCATTAATATTTAGTTTTATATTTTTCCATCTTTTTTTGGAAAATTTCAAAAATACTTTTGGGCACAAATTGCTCTTTAAAATCTATTTTTTTCCATTAATTTTCAACTTTATTTGGATGTATTTTGTAATGTTTTAAATATATTTTTCATTTTTTTTTTTTAAGATTTTTGTTGTTATTATTATTATTATTTTAACACTTTTTTGACGGCTTGGGACTTGTTTGGTTAAACCAGTTACACTGCTTCCGGCCCTTGGTTAACCGTTCCAGGTTAATTTTTCCTGCACGGGTTATGACCGACCATGGATATTTTGCGGTAATATATGATTTTAACCCGCTTTGGAGCCATTTTTGAACGGCCTTGTTGGGTTTTGAGCGAGGGATAAGTAGTGGCCTTATGGACCATAACGTGACTCATGAGCAGAGTTGGATTCCTTAATCGTGATATCGTTTATGGATAAAAAATTGAATAATTGGGCATTTGTAATAGTGAATTAATTGTTTACTAAATAAGGAAAAAATAGATTGAAACCCAAACCAGCCAAGTTTTAAACGTAATGTTTCTACGTTAAAATTATAATTAGGAAGGGTTAAAATATTGGAAAAGAAAAATATAATGGTTGTAATTTTTTAAAAATATTCTAAAATCTGTAAATAAAAATAAAAAATTCCTCATCAACTATTCTTGAAGCATGAAAACTTACATTCAGAATTGTGAATTATATAAATTAGAAAAAGAAAAGAAATAAAGCCACTTGCCTATTTGGTGTGAGTTAAGACTATTTTGTTTTTTCTTATTTCCAAATGTTGAAGAAATTGTAAGAGAAAAATAAAAAGTTAGTCAACAATCTTTTAGGGAGCAAAATTTTTTTAAATTTAAAAGTAAAAACCTTAGTAGTCGGTTTTCTTGTTAAGACAACATAAAAATTTCAGATTAATTCAGATATTAGAAGTAGTAAGAAATAATTTAAAATAGTTAAAATTATATTAGGGAGCAAAAATATTCCTAATAAAAAATAAAGAAAGCTGTTCTCTATTTTGAATTTTTTGTTATCAATAAAAATAAAAATAAAATAAATAAATTACAATACAAATTGCTAGTTTAAACAAGTGGCATTTGTTATTAAAAAGACAACTTTAAGGAACAAATAACGGACCAAATCACACCCGTTGTTCAATGAACATCAGTGTTTTTACACATTTGCACATGTGCCTAGCAATATTAAACATCAAGTAAAAGGCACAAATTTTTTCTCATTTTAAAAATAAATATGAACAAATAAATATAAAAAACATGTAGAATGAGATCATTTACGTTTGATATAAGATGGTAACAATTAATCTTTACCATTGGATGTGAAATTGGGTGGCAGTATTTATTCCAATGACCGAGCTCAAACTTCAAAAAAAAAATTCTCAAACTTTGTGACGCACCCAAACTATCAAATGGGTGCGGTTTATATAGAGCTGAGGCTCTAACAATCAAATTAGAGCCCAACTTTAAATAGTGTCGAGAAATATCGTTTCAATATTGAAAAGTTTTGTGATAGCCTTCAATTATATTTTTATCTAGTTATAAAATTTAAAGCTTAAAAAATATAGTGTAGATCAAGCAGATCTATGAAAACTTGAAAATGTTGAAAATTGACGGTCCAAAAATGCGTTACAAGATACACTATTTTCTAAACTTAAAATCCATTTTTTCGTGTCAATGTATCTTGATGCCGAGATGATCAAATGAAAGTTTTGGGGTAGGCTCCAATTTGATTGTTTAGAACCTAGGCTCTATATAAACTTTTCCCCTATCATATTTCACATTGGATGGTTATAAGTAATTGAGACCACCTTGTATCTGTCAAAATCTGGAAACCCTAGAGAGAATAGAGAGAGTAGAAAATATCTCCCATGTTTCATTCATTCCATATACACATTATTTACAAGTTAGTGTATATATAAAATAGTCAGAATTAACCTTGAGGGTAATTCATGAAAAAATGCCCTACACAATGTTACGAAAGACAATTTCAATCTCTCCTAACCCCCCCTCAAGCCGAGCATACCTTGTGCATTGAGAGCTTGTTTATAGACTCATGGTATCTTAGCCTTGTGAGAGGTTTGGTAACATGTTTGCCAACTGATGAAACGAAGGGACAAAGGTTATGAAAATAGCACCAGATAACCTTTTCTCTAATGAAATGATAGTCAACTTCTATGTGTTTAGCGCGAACATGAAAGATAAGATTGGTGGCTAGTCGCATAACACGTTGATTATCACAAGCTATAATGGTGAGCTTAATTGTGGAAACACCAATTTCCATGAGGAGTATATGTAGCTAAGTAATTTTTGTTGTGACAATACTCATTGCTCTATATTTTGACAATGTACTGGATTTTGATATTGATGCATGCTTTTTGCTACTCTAATAAATTAGACTCTTTTCCAAAAAGATACAAAATCCTTTAATGGATCTACGATCATTAGGGCATCTTGTCCAATCCCCATCATAGTATGCTTTGAAGTCAGGTGAACTAAAGAAAACATAGAATAAACCGTCATGTATAAAACTCTTCGAATACCTCAAATACCCAATGAGATTGTCGAGGTGCCTGCGTGAACTGACATATTGTATTCAATGCATAAGTGAGTGTGAATGTAAGATATTGAAAGCTACCAAATATACTTCGGTACAAGGAAGGATTAGATAACAATTGCCCTTCTTCAGTCCTTGACTTTCTATTTACTTCAGCTAGAGTTGAAATAGGCTTGCATCCCCACATCCTTGTTTTAGATAGTAAGTCAATAATATACTTATGTTGGGTGAGAACAATGCCTTTTTCTGTTCGATGAATTTCAATGCCCAAAAAATATTTCAGTTCTCTAAGATCTTTCTTCTCAAAGTTCATTTCAATTCTTTCTTAATATGCTCAATGCCTTGAATATTATTTCCAGTAACAATAATGTCATCCACATAGATAAGAAGAAAGATAATATCTGATGATGTTCCTTTTAAAAGTAGGGAGTAGTAAACATTGCTTCATTGAAAACCAATATTTTGGAGTTGACAATGAAATTTTTCAAATCATGATCGATGAGCTTTCTTGAGTCCATAAATAGCCCTTTTTAATTTGCAGACATAATGCGGTCGTAAGGGATTTTCTAATCCTTTGGGTTGTTGCATGTACACTTCTTCTTTCAAATCACCATGAATGAATGCATTTTTTACGTCAGGTTGATAGAGTTTTCAATTAAATATTGATGACAGAGCCAAGATACATCAAATAGTTGGTGTTTTACAACTGGACTGAAGGTTTCATCATGATCAAAGCCATATTCTTAACTAAACCCTTTA